CGAACCCGTGACCTGGTAGCAAAGTGCGGCCGAGCCTTGCCGCTCCAGCGAACAGTTATTGTAGGTGGTGTCCTGGCCGAACATCAACAGCTGCTTGAACGTCTTGTCGAGGATCGTGTTCTCAAGCTCCTTGGGGGCGTCGACCTTGCCATGGGGCCAGCGCCGCAAACGCATTCCTCATGCATGGGGCCATATCGGCAAGGCAAGGACCGTGCCCGCGCGACTCGGCCGTGAACATCGCCGAACCTGGGAGCTGAATGCGGAAGACGCCCATCGCTGCCCTGATGCTACGCTCGTTGCTCAAGCCCGCCAGCGTCTCGCTCGTCTTGATCATGAATGGAGCGGTGGCGTTGACCTCGCTCTTCTCCACGGCTTTCTTGTACTCAGCCTCGTCGTCGTACGTCTTGATCTGCCTGACTACATCGTTGGTCGCGTCGAACAAGAGCGTGGGCACCGCAGTGGACTCCTTGTGCTGTGCCGCCTTCACCTTGGCCTCCGCGGCCTTCTTCTGCCTAGCCCCCTCTTCCGCCTTGGCCTTCTTCTGCTGTGAAATCTTCGCGTTGGTCTGCTTCTCGTCCCAGCGATCCACCGCGGCAGCGACCTCATTGCAGGAGCCCTCGATCCACTTCGTGAACTTGTCCTGCAATTCCTGGGCGGCTAGCTCGGGTCAGCCGAAGGGGGAAGGAGCGGGCAGGCGGGCCACTGCCGCGCCCTCGCCTGCCCGCGGCCACCGCCGGGGCGCCCCCACACCCCCAGGGGCCCCAGGGCAGCGATGGATGTTTCAGACAAGCAGCCAAGTTTTCACGCCTTCGCCCCGCCCAAAAGCAAGCGGGAAAACGGCGACGCCAGCAGGGGCGCTGCGATTTCGAGGGGCCTCTACTTGCATTGTATCCGCCAGTCCTTCGCCGAATCAATTTCCCGGGGCAGCGTCTTGATGTCTAGCTCGGTGAGGCAGAGGCCCACCCTCCGCCCGATGATCTCTAAGAAGTAGAACGGTTCGATGGCCTCGATGAACTTCGCGACGAAGGGCAAAGTCTTGCCCGAGTCGCGACGTTGCCCCAAAGCGTCCTGCAACTTGAACCTCGCGATCGCATATGCCCTGACGTCATAATAATATGATAGCATCGGCGCCACCGTGATGTTGCCGCTGAACTTGCCGTCTGCCGCGGACCAGCGGTGCTCAGCCAGCAAAGCCATCACCAAGAGGTGCTTCGCAAACTTCTCGCACTTACCAAGCTCCGTCTTGAGCACCTCCGCAATCGCCTCTGTTGCCGCAGGCTGTGCGACCGTTTCCTGCTCGCTGGCCTTCGTTATCAGCGCGGTCAGCGGGGTGATCAGCACGTCGTTGTCAGCCGCCAGCCCGTCCGGCAACGCCACCGTCGAGGGGTCCGACGGCTTAGCGTACGCCATTAAGCTCATCAGCGGAAGCCAATCCTCCATGGTGTCCACGCACTTGCTCAGCCCAGGGGCCGCGGTCGACACGTCGTCGCAATTCCCGGCAGCTGTGCCCTCGCCAACTGCGGTGTTGGCCTTGGGCCTGGCCTCCTGGAGTCGGGTCTGCCTGGCCTTCTGCTTCGTCAGCGCGTCCTGCGCAGTAAATGGCTGAAGTGAGTTTGACGTCGGGCTCGGGCTCGCCGCCGGGAAGGGGGCGGGGGGCAGCGCTGCGCCGCTGGCGCAGCTGAAGTTCCTCGCCCTTAAGCCCCTTAGCTGCGCCCAGCTCCCCGGGAGCCTCCAAGCACATCACCGTCCATCTCAACGGCTACCCGAGCATAACATCCAAACTCAGTTTCAACCCGCTCGAACCAGACTCGCCAGATCCCAGGCGCGAATGGTCTGGGGCAGAGGGAGCATAGAGATCATATATTTAGATATCGCCGTCCTGCAGTCTGTCCTGCAGCTTGTTCTGGATGATGTCGATGTCGATGGCCTTGCCTGGGGGCGGCCCCTGCGACTCCGTCGACTGCTGCTCCGCCCTGCTCTTGGCCTGCCCCAGCTGGGCCTGGAATATGTTCGCCCCAGCACCCGCGCCGGCGCCGAAGACGCCCTCGCCGCGGGCACTCAGGGAACAGCCACCGACGCCGCCAACTGCGATCAGGGCCCCCCTGCCGACCTGCCCGGACATCTCGTTGCTGAACGCGGCGTGGCCGTCAGCAAGCGAGCGCTGCGCCGCCGCCACGTCCTGCGCGTTGGTGACTCTGCGGGCCTTGTTGCGCATCTCCACGGAAGTCTCCTGGAACACAGCATTCTCCCCGATGACGTAATCCTCGGCGGGCACAGGAAGCCGCAGGGGCGCCTCCTTCGGACCTCCCATGTCCTTCATGTTTTCGGGGCAGGACTTTTCCGTGTCATCCCATTGAACCTTGGCAGTCGTATGGCTGATGACTAGCACGTCCTTCGCGTGCTTCAGCCACTGACCTTTATGCATCCCCACGAGCTTCGTGCCCAGGGCGACTTTGGTCTGGTTGGCGTGTGTTCACGACTTGCATGACATCAGGCGCCG